AGTTTTGATGCAGCGGGGACACCCAATCGCTTTCATCAGCAAGGCGTTATCTCCCAGACATGTCAACCTATCTACATACGAGAAGAAGTTGCTAGCTGTTATTCATGTTGTGCAGAAATGGCGTTCGTATCTGTTAGATAGGCATTTTGTGATCAAAACTGATCAACAAAGCCTTAAACATTTGCTAGAAAACAAGCTGAATACTTCATTCCAACAACGGTGGCTGTCCAAATTGTTGGGATWCGACTATGAGATCTGCTATAAGCAAGGGTCTGAGAACAAAGTAGCAGATTCATTATCCAAGGCAACTCATGGAGAATTGTTGCAAATGGTGGTATCCYACATTCATTCAGATCTTTATAGGTCTATTCAAGAGGCTTGGGAACAGGATATGAACCTCAAAAGCTATAATTTTAGCCATTCAACAAGATGGTAGCAAACATCCTAAGTATAGCTGGACAAATCAAGAATTGAGAAGGAAGGGTAAATTGGTAATCGGTAACCTTAAAGACCTCAAGCACAAGATTATGTCTTGGATGCACGATTCATCGSAGGGAGGTCATTCGGGAGTTACAGCAACTCTCAAGCGCCTAAAGATTCTGTTTTTTTGGCCGAAGATGACACARGAGGTGGCTGCCTACATCAAGAATTGTGTAGTATGTCAAAAATGCAAGGCAGATACGGCTGCACAGCCTGGTTTGTTRCAACCTTTACCAATTCCRGAAGGTATYTGGGAAGACATTGCCATGGATTTTATTGAAGGCCTCCCTAATTCACATGGTAAGAATGTAATCATGGTGGTCATTGATCGCTTGAGCAAAYATGCCCATTTCTTCGCCCTCARTCACCCCTTCTCGGCRATAGACATAGCACRRGTATTTTTGGATAATGTCWATAAGCTGCACGGGTTGCCAAGATCCATCGTATCTGACAGAGATAAAATTTTCATCAGTAATTTMTGGYGAGAACTTATGGGGTTACAAGGCATAACCCAAAATATGTCCAGCAGCTACCATCCTCAATCTGATGGCYAGTCTGAGGTATTGAAYAGGYGTTTSGAAGGTTATTTGAGGTGTATGYGTCACGAGGCACCTAAAGAATGRGCAAAATGGTTACCGCTGGCTGAATATTGGTATAACACCAATTATCAATCAGCWATAAKATGCACTCCTTTTGAGGTTGTCTACGGCCAAGCTCCTCCATTGCACTTGCCRTACTTACCAGGGGAAAGTAAAGTCGATTCGGTGGATAGAAGTTTAACGGCCAGGGAAGAAGCCATTACTATACTGAAGCATAATCTGCATAAAGCTCAKAATCGAATGAAACAGGCTGCAGATAAACACAGATCAGAGAGGAAGTTCGAAATSGGCGATTGGGTTTACCTCAAATTACAACCGTATCGGCAAACATCRGTGGTGGATAGGACTAATATGAAGATAGTAGCCAAGTATTTCGGCCCTTACAAGGTGTGTGCAAAGATAGGCAGTGTGGCTTACACTCTCCAATTACCGGCTGAATCTAGTATCCATCCCACTTTTCATGTCTCCCTACTCAAAAAACATCATGGTCCTCCACCTAGAGGGGCTGCTCCTTTGACTATATCTGGCAGTGTAGCYGAAAGAATTCCTGAACAAGTCCTTGAAAAAAGAACTGTAAAGAGGCACAACAAACCAGTCATTGAATGGCTGGTGAAATGGATGGGAATACCTGCAGAAGATGCCACATGGGAAGAAGCTGTCACCATAGACAGGGAGTATCCAAAATTTGATCCTTGGGGACAAGGATCCTCTTAAGGGGAAGGAATTGTTATGATTCGAAATTCAGGGGGTAATTATGTCTTAAATAAATAGATTTGGTGGGCTGACAGATGTCAGCATCTTACCTAGATACGGACAGCTGTAAGCATCTTTTGTAGTGGGTTGTTATTTTTGTTATTATCTTTCCCTTATATTCAGTATTGTACGAGTTGGAAGATATGAAATAGATTTACCTTCTTCCTCATCTTTTATGTTCTCTGTAATCTCAATATCTCTCCTTGCTCTAAATTCTCGTGGATCATTCATTTCCTGACCCACCTGATTTGGAGTTGCAATCAACCGTTGGAGGACCAACCTTGATTGAGTTTTTAGGTGTATCAAAAAACACAAAAACGTATAACAAATAAAGGAACGGTGATGGAAAACCAAGATTTATAGAAAATGGGTAAAGATCAAAAGACACAGTGATGAAGAACCAAGATTTACAAATATGGATTAAAGATCAAAGAAACAGCGATGAAAACCCAAGACTTGCAAAATTGGGTTAAAGATCAAAGAAAGAATGGGGTGGTTATTCATGTACAATCACAAAAAATATCATTATAAAAATGGCTAAAATGACCAAAATACCCCTCACATAAGCAACCGATCCAACAAAGTTAAGTTAGGATAAAGGACCCAATCCATTATTTCATATAACTAACATAATAATAGATAGAGTAAATTGTGGATTTGGTTCTTATGGGTTTACAAGGTAATTAACTTTTGCCAATTTTCTTTTAAATCCAATAATGTCACTTCCATATCCAATAAGCCACTAAACTTAGGGGCCGTTTACTCAAATGCTTACCCGGTAAGCGTTTACCGGTAGGAGTCAAACACTATAATCTATTTTACCAAATAATATTGTAGAATATTAAAACGGTATCGTATGCAACAATTTACCCGGTAAACGCTTACCCGGGTAAGAGTCATTACCATCGCTTATCGGGTAAGACTCTCTATCCTTATCATTGCTCTTACCGGGTAAGATTTTCGACCCTTGCCATGTATTTCAGGCGAGGAAAATTACACGATAAGCACTTACCGGATAAGTGTTAAGTAAACGGCCCCTTAATAAAAGCCTGATTTAAGGTTAGTGAGAAAAACAATCCACTTTTTTGATTTTCAGAAAGTAATTAAAAAGCTGAAACTGTTTGATATTTCTCTTTGATAAACTTGAGAATTTGGTAGTGGAGTCTAGTTTGGTCACATTTTATTACCAGATGTTTTCAACAACTATCCATCAAATTTGAAATTTCAGCCATATCATAGAGGAGAGGGGAGTAGAACCACAAATTCTAACTTATAACCAAAATAGTTGAAATCAAATTAGTAAGAAATAGAAGTATCTATATAGAAGGAAACCGAACCTCTAATCCTCTTTGTTGTCCGATTCATCCGCGGACCCCTCTGCCACCACATCATCTTCGTCATCGCTGTATTCGCTCTCATCATCATCGTATTCATCTTCCTCCACTTCTTCGTCTTCAACCCCATCCTCGACACCCGCACCCTCCTCCATCTGAACCCCACCCCTCGTCCCAGCTCTCGTCCTTTTCAAAACCTTTAACTTCAAACTCATCTTTGTATCGCACCTGAGCCACGAGTCACTCAAGCAGTACAAAGTTAGATTATAAGTCCCCTCTTCAGGAGCCAAAAACCGGCCTATAACCAACCTTGATCCATTTCTCACTTTCTCGACGGCTTCTTTAACGGCAGAAGTCAGTTCCTTTGGGCTGGCCCCCGCCCATTCCTTTGATTCACGAATCACCTTTGGGGCGGCAATCAGGGCGGCGGATTCATCCATGAAGCTGACTTTTTGTGATATCCATACGTTGTTGGAGTTGGGGTCCGCAAGTAGTAACCAAAAGTTTTCCTCTTTGTGGAAAGGGTATTGAGGGCAATGTGGGAGGGCTCGAACCCTATGATTCTTACGGTTAAGTGTGACCCAACCACGCATTGTGACTATGTCGCCTTCTTGTATTGCTTCTTCACCTTCGGTCTCGCATTTGATGTCGAAGGTGATAGAAGGCATCATCTCGAGAACCATTTCTACGTCTTGGGACTCGGATGGAGAGAATCCGGCAACTTTTGTCAGTAAGTCCGCACGCTCTTGTTGGTTCAAGTCCCGAAAATCTTCAAAAGTACGAACTTTCTGCAAGCAGAGAAAGGACACTAAGCAACATGGAACCAAAAGATTGATATAATAAATTGCTTTACTTTCTTAACACAATCATCACATGGAATGGATTCTAAAAACAAAGTGATGACCCAGTTTGCCTTGGACCCAGACGGCTTTGACTTACCTGGTCATTTTTCAAGTTGAATTTTGATATGGAATCTGAACATTTTGTACAATAGTCTGATAACATACATAATAACTACTAGTATGCCGGTGATGAAATGTAATTGACTAGTGCATATCTTATTTGCAATAGAGGGACTATAAAGTAGGTGTTAACTTTTATCTTAACGACCCTAACAAATTTACGTCGGCTTGTAGCATGCATTCATCCCCAGAAGGATATAACAAGATTTTAACCAAAATGCAAAAATAACCGAAGGTAACACGGGAAGGGAGGGGTGAGGGGGTGGCTTACCTTCCTGGCAAGCTTCTTAAGAACAGCCTCACTGAAATGTGGCAGTTGCAGAAAAGGGGCAATTCCTTCAGTGGAACCTCCAGCTGCTTTTCGTGCACTGAGTGGAACTGCCTAAATGTAACATTGTGAAAATTAGCAGCGCTTAAAGATAGAAAAAATTTTAAAAAAAAATCTTACTTTTCACTACCAAATCATTTGTAATTATGACCAGCTTAGCATCTGTAATGAGTTACTAAAGCAAATATAATACCAAAATGAATGTTAAGATAGAACTCTTTGTAGTTCCTAAAGTTTCTTATAGCAGTATGTAAATGGAGTTCTCACGGAAAGTCCATAATTATGGGTTCAGTGATGTATTACTATAATTCACAAACAACTAAAATGGTAATAGATCAGTGAATACATCCAATGTGTTACCAAGAAAAAGCAATCTCAAATAATCAAACAGGATTTACACATAACGCCCATAAAACCTCAAAGCAACTATTTTTAAACTTCTTGCAGTGCAAAAGGGATCTGAGATGTGTTGTTCAAGTTGTTATATTGTTATAGTTTCAACCATATACTCGTGAGATCTTTCCTTTAGCAGTGAGACGATACGAACGGTATCAAATTCCAACATGGCTAGGGCACAGCAAATACTAAATAAATAAGATGTATATATAAAAACACATGCACTGAAGTACCTAACTTGATATACAAAATATCGTCATTAATCAGAATCACTCCATATCCAAAATTTGTAGAACTTATCACATACAGATAGAAAAACCATCAGGCACTTTATTCCAGAGGTAAATGAAGAAACTTTAGAAATCATCCAAATATAAACACAGGATCAACCTAGCTAAATCCTAACAAAACAAACCATGCATGTCCATGGGAACTATAATTGGTAACAGCAAAAATAGAAGAAAAAAACAAGACATGCATAGTTTATGGGAAAGCCAACGAAAAACACACCAAAATAGAATTTTAGAATTACTTCAGAGACTATGGACAAGAAATATGAAGTTCGTAGGAATCGCCTGAACCCAGCCACAGTACTCTCAACATCAGCCTCACAAAATGACTAGAAAAATTACCTACAACCCTACTTAGTAGTCTATATTTACAGATATGTAGGAATGAAAGACCAAAAGTCAAGGTACGTAACAATGATGTTTGCTTAAACTGTTTAATCTTCCATCTGTGCTACTGAAATCATCATAGGCACAAGCTCTCTCCTATCACCAGTGAACTTCAACATCACCCCTATCATATCATTGCCATTTTATTCTAATTGCACCAATCATACACATGGAAAGAACTTCACATTCTACAATGTATGATGTTTATTCAACCTGCAACTTTCAATTTAACTGTACCAATACTAGCATTAGGAAATTTATCAAGCTTGTGTCTATGTCATGACGTCATGTTGAAACTCATGAAGTTAATAGTAGATCCCGACCTTTCTCAGTTAAGTGCAATAAATATCAGCCTATCGTCACTTGCCCATGCTACATAAGCATAGCATTAAAGATCATTTGGTCCGTGGCCCTAGGCCTCTTAACAAGCGGGCCATGGTTGCGGGATTCTTAGAGTGGACAAGTTGTGTCTATGAATTAGGTTATTGCTTCTCTTCTCTTGTTCACTTGTGCCTTCTCTGTCTTTTATATGAATGTGAACTTAATTATGGGAATTTGATATTCATAACTTAGGGGCCATTTACCAAACACTTACCCGGGTAAGTGCTTACCAAGTCATATTACCTCACCGGATGAATATGGTAAGGACCAAAAATCTTACCCGGTAAGAGCGAGACAAGGACCATGAATCTTACTCGGTAAGTGAGGGCAATGACTCTTACCACAGTAAGCGTTTATCGGGTAAATTGTTGCATAGGATGTTGTTTTGGTGGACTAAAATCTTATCGGTACGTAAATAATAGTGTTAAATTTTACCGGTAAGCACTTACCAGGTAAGTGTTTGGTAAACGGCCCCTTAGTGTTGTTCAATACGTGAGGTGATTTTAGTTGACTGACATTTCTGTTTGAATTTTCATTTCATATTGTGGAATATGTGTTTCAGATTGCCCCTCTAACTTGGTCGTTGCCCACCTAAGACCTATGCTTTAGGTACTCTCACCTAGGATTCAATAGCTATGTACAAAGTGTTTTGTAATTATACCTTTCACATAATCTTTTGCGGATTGAACTAATATACGCAGCTATTTTGTTTACATAAAATCTCATTCTGTAAGAACCCATCAGGCTTGATATTATGGGCAAGGCAGTAACAGAATGCTGCAATGCACTACTGGTGTTACAATATCCCAATGAAACAGAAAAGTTGATAAATATAATTTTGTTTTTCTTATCCTGAACTAAAATAACTAAAATAGAAGCAAACACCACCTGTATTATACTCTGTGAGAGCTCAACCACCCCGATTGCAGGTCTCAGCCACCCATGCCCATGCGGGGGACGCTGAAGCACTGCCATCTACAACAAGAAAGAAAAAAACTATCACAACTGCCAGGAGAGTTAATGGAGAGAAATTATGCATATATACGTACACAAGATTTAAGTAAACATGTCAATGCACAAGGGATACATCAGACTGAGCTCCCTTGCACCAATCCAAACCAGAAAAAAAACACCCATACAAGACTGCCAACAAAAATGTGGATCTTTGAGTTCAAATTATCTGAATATCATTTCATTCACAAGTTCTAAGAACTATAATACAAGAAAAAATGCCTTGAGCATAGAGGTTCATAAAATCAAGCTTCCCTATCAGCCAAAAATCGGCAACCTAATATCTATCCACGTCCATAATATAGAACGGCTGGACAAAGCTTCGAGTTACCATTAAGGCATTAATGCTATCTATGCAACAGAAGAGAACTATGTAACTAGTCCACTCAACGGCAGAACAACGTCAACAGGTATGCTAGATACTGCATCAAATCTTTTTTCCTTGCAGCTTTACTATCATATTATCTTGGTAACACTTCATAGGAATACTAGATAAGCAAAGGCTCGGATGTCACTCTGTGCTAAGAATGTGAAATACTTATTTTCGCATAACAGTGGCTGTTTTGTATCCATAACCCTCACTAGCATGATCCTAAAACTAGTCAAGTTGCATCAACCACTAAAGTACTCAACAGATATGTCCTAAAAAATATAGTCCACCTTCTTGGTCCGACATAATACCTCAACAAATTGCAAATGCTAAGACATAAGTGAAAATCATAAACAGGCCATTTTGTTTCATGAATCAGTGATACAGTTGCAGAAATTGGAAAAGGCTGGAATGTTAAAAAGTAAGTATATAAACTATGATAAGTCGACATAAATTGCAAAGTCACACCAGGGAAAGGATTTGCCCTCACAGATATTTGCATGGTCCTATATATGTTTCTATATGGATATGCAATTGAGAGATCTCTTACTAACAATAATGTTCCCATAGCGAGAACAGAGACTTCTTAACCCTGCACAACAGTTAAAACTTGTTACATCCCCGGTGTCCTCACTCCACTATCAAGAAGACAATTGCTTGCCAGTTGCTACACAGGTTGGTTATCCACCATGCACAAGAGGTTCAACTTTCTACATCTTGTGTGTTCTCACTCAGCTACCAAAAACACAATTGCTTGTGAGTGATTGCTCAATCCCACATGCAATACATATATGTGTGTGTGTGTGTGTGCACACATAAATACACACATACAGTATAAGAGAAGGGGCAAAAAAAATGCTTTATTCAGTAGTTAATCGCAAAATATATAGACACTTAGGTGACAATTAGATATTACCTGTAAAGAAAGAACCAAAGAGATACCAAACTATAATTTTTATTAACTTTTTATACATGTTTTAAGATAACAAGAAATTGCTCGTTACTAAGATTCTACATAGCCATAGAAGGAATGGAGGAGATAAAAGTATATTAACCAGAAGAAATGAGGTTAAACAGGAGAAGAAGTTCTAAAAGATGAGCTACATTGGCTACCAGACGGTAGTATTATCACATCATATAAGAGAATGAAACAGAAGAAAGACTTCAAATAACCTTTTCCCTTGATAAGTAAAGACAAAGTACACAAACCTTCATTAACTCTTCAAGAAGGCGAGGAGCAACCTCAAGTATACGTCTGAAATCACGCTGCAAGGATGGAGATAGGCACGCTGACTCACGAGTTAGTTGGGCTTGAACTAACAATTCAGTCTGCAGTTAAAATCGTGTAAGCAGCGTCAAAGGCAAGTATCAAAAAGATTAACACCAACAGAGAACTAACCATAGACATAAATAAATATAACCTTCACTAGGGCCGGATGCTGCTTCCAAAACTTAGTTTGTTCTTGCTTAATGTTCTTAAGGTCCAGATTCAGCTCACTTCTAACCAAAACAAACAGTCTCTGAAGGGGTTCTCCATCACTCCGACGAACGGGAATTTCCATGTATTCAGCTGCTTTTATGAAAACATCCATGACCTTACTGTGATTTTGAAACGTCAAATATGTTGTTTTAGTTGATGCTCAGGTATCCAATAACATGCATGAAATTATATGTACATACAAATTCTCATTCAGTGTTGGCAGGGTAGAAGATGATATACCACATAGAAGGAATAAAACGGAAATATAAAAACAGTGATATAAATGTAGTTTAGCTTGAGAATCAAAGCAGGACAACATTCACAGATAAACCATCCAACTAAGTCGAGTATAGTTTAGTTAGATAGTCCAAAAGTCGGAGGTAATTCGTACCTTGGAGCCAAAGAGGGCTTCATAAGATAGAAATATGCAGATAATGTATGCTTCAACACATAGTTTCCAGTATATTTAGCTGATCTTGATAAGTACATAACAGCCATCACCAGGGGCAAAATAATGCAAATTCCAACAATCCCGAGTAAATTTACTGCACCCGACGTCCCATCAATGTTCAATAGAAACTGAGGGAGGGCAATACCCATTTGAAGCCCCTGAAATAATCATATTCAAATCAATGCGTGTTGTATATCCTAGTGCAAAGAGTTAATTGAATTAAAACCAAGTTGATAAGGAGATAAATCACCAAGCTAATGGTGGAATATATAATACCTGCCTGCCATCAGGATGGCCATATTTTTCAAAGTTCTCACGTGATGTTGGATCTGTTAGAGCCTGATACGCCTTTGATATATATTCCACAAAATAATTGTGGGCCTCTGGGAAGCAAATACAAAGTTATCGCCAATAGACATCATGTACAATAGCATCAAGCACATGTGTGCAAAAGGGATAGAATCCAAATAGAGGGTCAAAACAGAAGTCCACCTGGATCTGGATTTTTATCAGGATGGTACTGGATGGAAAGTCTCCTATATGCCTTCTTGATTTCTGAATCTGTAGCTCCATGTTCTAATCCGAGAATACTGAATGGCTCAAACACTTCTACCTGCCAAATAAGAAAAGAAGAGGGATAAACATAATGAGTAGCACAAAGTACGGCTCTTGTTCCAAATGGAAATCCTTTTCATTCAGCACCTCAAAGATATCCATACTATAGTGGAATTTTTGGAACCTATGCTATGCAAACATATTGACACACAAAACAAAAAGAAATGCCTGTGAGGAGATTTCTATTAACAAATTGTACAAACTACAACAATGTTCATCCATATGTACTTTCAAAATGTTTATAGACGGGCATATATACGATGACATAACAGTACCATCAGTATAAAACTGAGCTGTTGCTGCTTCACCACCGAGACCCAAACCTCAATATCACCATGCATAGTTTTCAGATTACCTCATGGCTGCTACTTTTTATGTGATATGCCAACAGCACCATGATCACCCAAAGCATAAGAAGAGTCAAGTTACTATACGTTGAAAAGTTTGATATCTGTTGCATAAAAACCAAAAAAGAATTCAGAAATGGATATATGATACAGACGTAAAAATTAATGGATCACTACAACTTGGATGCATGTCTATAGAATTATAGGTCGGATAGGAAACTGACACGCCTAAATATGGACTTGCGGTACTTCCCAGACTGCATGCATACTGAACACTGGCACTTGGTGATTGTGGCCTTCTTAGTAGCTAAATGATATAACTGGAAGATTGTGTAAGGTACTAAAGGCAGAGCCAATATTGAGAAAATAAAGATTGGGAAAAGTGTATTGCTATCTTCTGATGCAGCCATGTTGAATATATTCTTCTCAGAGATAGTAGGCTCTGCTAGGTTATGACCCTGCAGTGGAGATCATAGTTAGGATCAGCAAAAGTAAATCATGTAACATAAGGTAAGAAAATAGAGAAGCTTTATATCATATGCATGACGCTGCAACAACTCATTCAACGATTAAAATAAATATTTGGCGATAATTATGAAAACATAATCAACATAAGAACATAAGGATGCTTATGATATAAGCAAACACATCCAACGTCAAGTCCGGTAATTAATAGGTGATAGATGATAATGGATTGTTATACTTATTAAGGCAGGAAACATGATACAGGATGTTGCTTTGCAGAAAGGGATCACATGGCAACAACTGCATGCTCTTGTTTCAACCACAACCCAGTCAGTAAATAAAGTTCAAATGTAACATAACATGAGACTGTCAAGATAGGGCGCATCTCTATTGTTTCATATGTGAGGTGTAACCATTTATCAAAAAAAAATCAAGATGGCGTAGTACAAGGTCAATCCTACAATGACTTCCATGTATATTTGCACAGTTGTTGGGAATAGTGAGAAAGAAACTGCAAATTGTATAAGTAGCTAATGGAACACATTCTTTGAGTTCGACTACACATTAGTTGGTAAAGCATAAACCTGGCTAGCTAAGATCCCCCCCTATACCATGGCATGCCAACATATCTAACTGACAATAACATGTAACTTGTAAGTACATATTTCTTAATGAAAACAAAGAGCATAGCATAGAATTTCCAAATATGACCTAGTTCACAGCCTGTTTTAAGTAAATAGACAAACCCACCAGAAGAGAGCCAAGTATTCTAAGACTTTTGCATTGGACAGCAGTGTCCCTTGAAACTCACTATCCAACACACTATCTGTTGGGAATCCAGATGCTAAAGCCCATGAGCCCATAATTTCTCAGTTGGGTAAAAAGCCCATAATATGGAAAGTGTACACGAGGAGAGAGAAGAAGGAGAAGGGTCGTTAGGGAGAAAGTTAAAAGTAGTGGAGGGGACAAAGGGGAATCATTCTGTTATTTGTTGTCTATTTTGTTAGGAGAGAACTCTCTGGAGAGGAGTCCCAGACTCTGGATAATTTTCCTTGTTCATTGTAGAGCTTCAGCTCATTTTTCCTCTTTTAATCATTCAGCTTGTCTTCTCAATTTTTCTGTTTCTATTACTATCACAATACATAAAGACACCACGAATAACCATCAATTGTACAAAATCCATTATTGTATTAGGGGGGGAAGGACATGTGCAATGTGATATTGCACCTTCTATTCCCTAATCGCACAAAGATGGCATGCTAAGTTCAATGTGGTACTCCTGATATCACGTAAAAGACAGATAAATTTCTAAAGCTGCTATTATACTAATCTATGGATTCTAAGATCATACAAAGATTTGAGAAGTTATCTAAGGCATACAAAAAATTTCATTATTGATAATCCTTGATGCAGATTGTGTAATGTTGTCTTGCTATCAGGATATGAAACCAAAGCATGGAAATTGCATATGGATATGGTATTACAAAGTAGATGAGGCAATGCAAACAGAATTCTCCTCATATACTAAGGCAGATCTGAGTGTAGGCCACAGTACGGATATGGTGACGTGGACCGTAACGCAAAATTGAAAACAGAGCAATTTGACAGCATCCACCCACATCAGACTGATATTTCACCTATGGTACTGTGATGATGCATGCTGTCCTATTCATCTTAGTCATTTAAGAATTTTTCTTGGATACAGGGGCCATTTAAGAATTTCATTGTACAGATTCAGTTTATATGGTGTAAGAAGAAATAAAGATGCAATTATGGATAGTACTTTACTTCATATGAGGAGATATAAAGACCGATACAAATGATGCATGGAAAAAAGAAGAAAATAGCATAATGGAACCTTAAACCAATGAGAACATTGAGTTTGTTATGCTTTACTAAGCATCCAAAATTGCTTAATGAAACTAGCAACAGTAAGCTTGCAATTCCTTTTAATTAACTTGTAATTGTTGAGTATTTTTGCATCAAATATAAGTGACATACAGTCATACACTTCATGTTTAATAAAAGCTTCTTAATCCACTTGATTACCAAAAAACGAACCAAGCATACACAGTATACACAGGCTTTCCTCTACTCCAAAGAGTAGAGGTTGTTTCCGTGAAGACCCCGAACTGGCGTGAAAGCATTCGAAATTCTTGAGGAGGCAGAAACTCTGTCAAAAAGGGAACTTCAAAAATTTGAAGTTTTTGAAAAGTAATTGAGAAGCTTGATATGGTGGAAAGGAATTATTGAACCAGAGTGTGTGAACAGGCATCAAGGAGACGGAGGACAGTACAAGCAATAACAACAGTGCAGAAAGAAAAATTAACTAAACAGCTTAACAAGAAGTACAGCCTCTATATATCCTATGTCACTGAATGCCCTATATATCGGCTCTATAATCTTCCCCAACCAATCCTCCACCCCTCCAACCCCCCCTTCTCCAACCACAGTAGCTACTAGTCTACAGATAATCTGCTACCATAGTCCTGCTTCACCAAGAACTCCTACCGAAAGTGATGTGGTCCGGAAGGTCTAAGTGATGCAGTAGGAAATGTGCATGGGTTGACAAAGTGTTGAAACACTAACTGGATAATGAGCTTACAAGCGTAAAACTCAGAAAATAAGAGAAAACGCTTATAGAATTAGAGATGCTCTAAATAGAATTTTATTAATCGATTATAAACTGAAATATAACATAGCACCTTAAGGGTTTATCTAGAGAATAAAGGAATCCTAATGCAATAAAAAACGTAAATAATAATCCTAAACCAACTAGGAAAAGATTTAAACGGTTAAAAGATAAGGAAACAAAAGAATAAAGATAATTAGGAATTGAATAATCAAAATAAGGAAACAGTGAAAAGAATTCGCCAGGTTGTTGAGTGTGGGCGGCTGGCCGTGTGACTTTAGACACATGAAGACTGTTCTTTGAATTGCAGAGGGTTACGCGACTGGGCCTGTTTTCCAGTTTTTGATACAGATTGTGACGACAAATTGGGTTTCTTTCGACCTCATTTCCGTTTTTCCCATTGATCAATGACAGAATCCATTATATCTTGGATCTGTCCTACATCAGTAAGGTCATCATGTCCTGTCTTAGCTGCTCATCCCATGTCATCACCGATCTGCCCCTCCTCACCCCGCTGACCTTTACGCTCTCCACCCTCCTCACCAGAGTCGTTTCTTGTTGCTTGTGAACATGCCCAAACCATCACAATCCTTTATCTCTCAATTTACCCAATCATAGGTGCAACTCCTGGTTCTGCCCGATAGACCTCATTCGGTATCCTGTCCAACATGGTCTGGCCACAAGTCCATGTGAGCATCCTCATTTCTGCAACTTCTAACATTATCTCATGCCTTTTCTGTCACCCGCCACTAAGGCCCATACAACATAGTTGGTCCAATAACCACCCCGTGAATTTTCCCTTCAGTTTTAACTGGACCTTCTTGTCACATAACAAGCTAACAGCTGTCCACTTTAACCACCCTGCCTGTATACAGTGTGTAATGTCATCCTCAACCTCTGCACCCTTCTTAATCCACCTGATTACTATGCATTGCTTATTTGAAGTTACATTATTAGTTGTTTGAATTCCTGTACCAAGCATGGCCTAGTTTTAAGTGCTACAACATCGATTACGAAAACCATAATTTATGGTAACACGCTAATCAATCTATCTTTCTATTATCTTACTAAGTTTCTAAACTTGAACCATTTTCCATTACAAGCAAATAAAAGAAGAATAAGGTTGGTAAAGACTAGCGGAATAATCCTAAAATTCTGTTTAGGGTCATTAAGCATGTCCTTTATTGAGGTTTTTCTTTCTTGTTATAAAATCAAAGGAAGAATCTTTTTCCCCTCACTCAGACCTATATTCATAACCACCAAAAACTCCTTGTGAACGAATATTGCTTGCAGACACGTATCAAAGAATAGCATTCATCATCAAACATATTACCTCAATTACCTGTCTCCCTCAACCAAACTTTTGCAGCCTTCTCTGTATGTCTGAGAGGATCAACAACTTTTTTTGGGATAGCATTATTCAATAAGATTCGAGATACTTAAACTTCAGAGGTCAACTTATTAGCAAATCATCAGCAATAACCACCCTCTATGCATGCTGACAGTTCTGATCTAGTAATCATTTTTTTTTTCTTGACAACTCAAATACACATCGATATTGAAGTTAACACTTAACATTAGTCAGTTGCCAATCAAAACTAATACGTGAATACTGAATTTGACAAACATGTCAAGAAAAATACCAAATTACTTCTGCAAAAACAATGGAGCACAATTCAACTGTAACCAAAACTAAGAGCTCGATTATAAACATTCGTACAAACACAAATACACACAGAGCTAACCAATCATACAACGAGATGGAAGATGAATGAACTAGATAAGTTTGGTAAAATTGATCAACACAAAATCTACAAATGTAAACAGCATAAACATTAGATGAATCTGAAGTGTTGAGTGATTGATTTACCCTTGTAGATGATTGCTAGATCAGAAGTCGAACGGAGAAGGGAAGAGCCGGAACCTGACCTGGTGAGGACTTCGTTCCAACGAAAAGGAGCCCTAGTTGTTTAGATCTTACGTTAACAAACGTACTTCCTTGTTTATGACTCATTGGTACGCCATTCTTTTATATTTCTTTTTTTCCTTTTTGGAGTAATAAATCTATACCATGTTATAAATCATTTGACAAAACTCTTAAAAATTATTTTTATGTATAAAATATTGTTTATTGATGTATATACTTAAAATTTAAGATTATAAATAAAATATGTGTGAGTATATCTTATTAAAGCTCCATGTTTTAATTCGTATAACTAACTACAGATAAACATAATCAAATACATGATAAACATCATTTAAAATATAAAAAATTCAAAATATAATTAAGATAATCATTAAGTTCTAACAGAATAATTAATTATTATCTTAAAAAATTATATTATTAAACCAAAAATAAAAAAATGAAAATCATAAATTTTAAATAGTTATTTTGGTACTAATATCAATATTTTCTTTCAATTTTGTATAATATATCTTCGAAATTAGATTTTATTTAAAAATAAAAACATTAGTTTTGTCAAAACCATATAAAACTGTATTATAACATCAACTGAGACAAAAAGACGAAATATTAAAATCAAGATGTATCTCGCTGCATTGTGCGAGTACCCTTCCAGTTTTATTGAATGAAAATTTAAAATGCTAAATGTTTTTTCAAAAAGTTTTATACCAAACTAATTATTTATGCCAATAAATTTGAGGAAAACAGTTAAAAAGTTTTTAAAAATAGCTATAAATTATGTTATATAATCCATTTTTTTTTTAGTTGGTGGGTCAAATCAGCAGAAAAGTCAAATAGATCATGTATCGTGAAAAGTCATCAGTTTGAGGGAAATTTTGCAGAGACATTTGACGAAATCCGTGTTAACACATGATCGGCTGGTGAAATGGGATCAACATATCAGGTTGGCGGAATTTGAACCAGTGTCTTAATGAAAAGTGATGTTTGGACTAGTTTATATACGTTTTCATTAGTGTTATACGCCTCAAGTCAACAAGACGAGCCTTCCAATGACTCTTGGAGATTTGAGCCGGTCACAGTTGTGGAATTATATCCTAGCTTTATGTATATGAGATGATATATCCTAGCTTTATGGATTGATATAATATTATGTAATGGCTTGGACCATTAATTATTTTCTATTTTTCATTTAGAAATTTCCTTCAAAACTGTTGTCAAACATTAATTTTCATTAAACACAAGACTGGGGGTAAAATGGTAATTTTATGTCATTYAGACTGTTGATTCAGAACAGTTTCCAAACAACCTTTTTCTATCTGGCACTAAATCATACAGAGTCTCTTAATCATCCTGACCACTTAATCATGCTGTACTAAACTATTCAGCAACTGCCAAACAGCCCCAAAGTGTTACAAGTTAAGCTACCATAATCTATACTATATTATAAAAATTATTAAAAATCATTTTTTATGCATTAAGTATTGTTTATTGATGCATATTACTTAAAATTTAATATTACAAGTAAATTGTCTGTATGTACAACTTATTAAAGTTTCATATTTGAATTTGAGTAACTAACTACAGATAAACATAATCAAATTCTGGATAAGTATCTCATTTTAAATATAAGAAATCTAAAATATATTTAGGATAATAATTAAATTCAAAATACTAAATATTATCTTTATAAAAGAATTATATTATTAAACTAAAAATAAACGACTTCATTATTAAATCTAAATTAAATTATAATAAAAAAATAGAATTAAAGAAATTACACAAAAAAACAAGAACTTTTAAATATTTAATTTGATATAAAAATCGATATATTTTTTTCAAAATTTTATAATACCTTCAAATTTATATTTTATTCAAAAAAATAAAAACATTATCATTTTTTCGGTACCACATAAAATCGTATAACAACATTGACGGAGACAGAATATAAATGAAACATTACAATCAATATGTATTTCACTGCATTGCACGAGTACCCTTCTAATTTATTAAAATGCTAGTGTTTCAACTTATATTTTAAAAGTATTTATGTGATTTTATATCATTAAAATTTGATAATCAACTATATCAAAATATAGTATAAAACACAATGTTTATATTCTTTAAAGTTGTAATAATCACTTTTTAAAGTTGTTAATTGTTGAGATTTGATAATTATTTTAAAAAATAATAATAAATAAAATAAAGACAAGTAAAAACTTTATTCTGTCTTTGATAATTAATTCTAATTCAGATTTTGGAAAACAATAAATCAAAACTTTCAAATTGGGAACCATGATTCAAAATTTCTCACTTAAGGGATTCGCTGACCATATTTATGTTCCCAAAATATGAACGATAACTTGGTTTTATTTTATTTTCCTAAAACGGAAATTTTGGAATCATAATACCAAAATGAAGGTTTTGATTCGTAATTTCTTAAAATATGAACAAAAACAAAGTTGGTTATGTATTTGTGCTATTTGCCCGATTACGTATTGACTATTTGTTTCTTAAATGATCATATAAGACTAAACAAATGAACTGGCATTAGAAATTGATTTATGACAACTTGAATTCGTAATAATTATGTTTAAGTCTGAAAACTAATAAAAGCCAAATTTGTTTCCTTTTACCACATGGACGACGTAATAGAAGGTCACGTATTCAAATGTTGTATGTATTAAAAATTCGGCTTACATAAAGCCTTATGAGACAATGCTAACGGCTTACTGCTAGAATCTTGGTGAATCTCAATGTCAAGGATGTAAAAGGTTTCACCAAGATCCTGCAAATTATAAGTACTTGGTAAGAAACGTCTGGTCTTAAACATTTCATAGTTAAAACCATAGTTTTAAATAACTCGTTATGGCCTCATTATGCCGCGTTATGATGTCAAGTACTTGGTGAATCTATGTGGCTTTACTCTAAGACTTAGCTTCCATTGTAACGCGTTATGGCACGTTACAACGTGTTATCCATAACACGTTATTTTTTTAGATGTGGGGTTTTTTTAATATATAACTTGGGGGAATAAATGATAATTATATACAAGACCTAAGACTTAAATAAGCATAAAAAGGAAACTTAACAACTTAAAGCGTAAATAAGTAAATCATCCCCATACACACAGAGTCAAGATTCAAGAGATTTGATCCCGATTTTACACCCTTGATATCAATTTTTATAACCTCTATATATTTGGTTTTTTCATTTTTAGTTTTATTACTTTATATGAATTTCTGCCTTATTATTCAAAACTATATATATATATATATATATATATATATATAATATTCGCCTTAGGGAATGCCTTGAAAAACGTTATTGTCTCGCCGCAACTCGTAAGACTTTGGACTTGACCTTGCCGCCACACCACACCCACGTCATTTAGATCCTTGACTTAAAACTAGCCATAACTATGTCATCGACATAGTAAAACTTTAAAGATATTACGTAATTTGATGGAACCCAATTTAGGATGTGTACGACAATCTTTAACCCCTCAACCAACAAAAATTCTTGGAGTTACTATGCACGATATGAATAGGGGTGTGATTGCATCTTATTGTAACTGTCGTTCTGATGTTTCCACCATAGTGAAGTGGTCAAATATATTATGTGATGTATAAAACTCAAGAAACGTTCCAAGGCTTTAACAACCATTAATGCGTCGACCATATTATTCATTATCCCTATATGATTTCACAACATTTATTTCATGCATGGTTGATTTTCTGTAGTGACCATGAAGTTCAAATATTTCACGTAATGTGGAATTTTCATCAATTAAGTACAAGTAATTACATGTAATGCGGTCGTCGATAAATTTTATGAAAGATGTATAACCCCGGGTGGAGAAATGGCCACAAATGTCGGTGTGTATAGTTTCAAGCAAACGTAAACTACGAATAAACTCGTTCTCATTCCCCTTAACCATTTTATTTATTTATACACAAATAGATGAGTCAAAGTCTAAGAAGTTGGGATTATTAAGAATTTCATCTTTCACGAAACATATATTTTTGTCTCATACTACAACAAAATCGGGTTTATAGGACACTTCTAAATTCTAAGCGTCCTAACAGACCTCTTTATAGCACTTAGTTTATAGGACCAAATAAATAAAGTGTCATATCTAATGGTGTTGTATTAAGTTTATATGACGTTTTTTGATGTCATAATAAGTTTTTTTTTTTTTGAAGTAAATAATATTTATATACGGCAAATGCAACAAATAAACTCACACACTCTCCTCGCCTATGGTGATGGGAGGTTTGAACTCCTGACCTCCTGGAAGGCCAATGGCTACGATACCGCTATCAACTTTATAGGACACTATTTGAAAAAATGTCTTATAAAAACAAGTATCCTATAAAAAATTGAGTTTATAGGACACTTTCTCAAAAGTGTCATATAAAATTGCTAATGCGACACTTTGTATYAAAAATGTCCTTAAAAACTTGTTAAGACGCTCAAAAGCGTCATATAAACTTATTACCACGTCTTTAGATAGGACACTTCATATATTTGGTCCTATAAAAGTCCTAAAAACCGGTATATTGGGATACCTAGAGATTGGAGGTGTCCTATAAACCCAAATTTGTTGTAGTCTCAAGAGATGTCACTTACACATTTATGCCACATTTATTATGAATTCTTGCCATCTTTCTTCCTCTCTGTTTCATGATTACTTTCACTTTATTTTAATTCATAGTCAACGATGATTTGGAAGGTATTCATCGAGATTTGGTTAGATGATTCACTCACCAAAACCAACAACCACGAAACGATGAGAACATAGTATGCACAATAAGTTTATTTTGGTACATAAAGCATTCGTCGAGTATCATTCGATATAAATATCTCCAAGGTGGAATGTATATCCTAAAAGCAATGGAAGCTTTGATTGCTTCCACCCTTATCTCATTTTCGTTGCCGAATTTAATGGTTTATTGGCTGTTTTCCGGTCTTTTTCTTATACGAAATCCTTATAACAAATTAGTCATGTAAATCATGGAGACCATGTACAAACTCAAGCATCGTCAATTACTACCGACTCAGTGTGATTATGCCCCATATGATGGTCGTGGTGTTGGAATATGGGAGCCATACATGTGGCAAAAAATAACCGTATTCCTCCAATAATCCATACGAAAATGGAGTAGTATGGGTGTTTCGAATTTTTATTTAAATAACCAGCAACTTTTGACGTTGTTTATAAGTCCAAACAACAATCTTTGCAATGTTGCATCCATGGTATCCACACATGTAAATTGAATCACGTTCTTCTCACAAGAAAATGTAGGAGTCGTTATCTATCCGTTATGTTGCTAGGCGCAACCAATTAGTAGCAAAACCATCTATTTATCTTTCTTATATAGTACAAGGATTTCCATCATATGAAAACTCGGGATATTTGGACAAAAAGTTGATTATCGGTAACCCTAATCGGCCCCACATGGAACCCTCCTCCGATGACACCTATATGAGCTACACACCAGTGGCATGAAAACTCGTGATATACGGAAGCGTATATTTCTCATGTTTATAAATAGGTAAACATTTCAACTATTGACAAAGCTTACTCCTCTTTTATTTCTAATCAATATTCGATATGAAGTTAAATAAATTAATCGCATTAAATTACAAACAATATATTAATAGTTAAACACTTACTTGGTAAGTGTTTATCGGATAAATTTTCTTATTGGATGAACATGAGAATGGCCAAGAATCTTACCAGGTAAGAGCAACGAAAGGGATAGAGAGTCTTACCCGGTAAATAAGGATGACGACTCTTACCCAGGTAAGCACTTACCCAGTAACTTGTTGCATTTGGTCAAAGACATTCCAGCCTAGTGGTAAAGGCTTGGGCATGACATAGTCATGAACCCGAGTTCGAGCCCTGGGAGGGGACTGTTGGCGACATTTAAGTGGGGCCATGTTTAGCCTCCAAATTTGCCGGGGATTAGTCGGGCTTTGGCCCGGACACCCTTACAAAAAAAAAAAAAAAAAAAAAACTTGTTCCATTTGATATGTTTTGATGTACTAAAATCTTACGTATCAAAAATAAGTTATAATGTTGATTTCTATCGATAAACACTTACTTGATAAGCATTTGGGTAAACGCCCCCTGATTATTCGACATTCTTATTCGATTACAACGTGTGATTACTTGGAAAATTATCATGTTGATAATAAGCGATATCTAACAATACATCACCGTTAACTAAATAATATTTCCTCTAAAAAATGTATTTCAATTTATAGCTGATATAATTTAAAAAAATCCATTTATAGAGGAAGGAAACAAATGAAAGAATATCCAAGAAATGAACCAGTTATACCCAAAAGGCAAAAACTTTCCAAATCAAGTGAAAGGCAAAGACCTTTTGGTGTTAATGGCCTCCCATTTCTCATCTCAATCACAACTCACAACCTTCTCTCATGTCAATGGGCCCTTTCAAGAAAATCGACATATAATGGACGATCAAAATAGAACCATAGTGGGCCCCACAGATTGACAAATCTCCATGCATATACACAGCTTAAGCCCATCCACTTCACATGCTGATGCTTCTCCTGCTTCAGTTAATTTATCACGGTTCTCTTGGCGCCTAGAACTCTGTGACTATTCTCCCTTTTGTAGATCTAAAAATCTTGCAGAGATTTCTTCATTATTAGTTTTTAAGGAAAATGGTTTATACGCTGCCTGGGATTCGGTTGAATACTCTTCCACCAATTTCTCATTGTGGTGGTGATCGGAGGACTACTGTTGCGGCTTCTACTTCTACAAATCTTTCAGTATTGTTCAGGAAAAACACATTAACTCGTAAGGGTTTTCCATTTAATCATGAAATCCGTGATTTGTATTTTGATTATTTTTTTTGGGTTTTCCATCAATTTCTTCATGCTTAATTGTGTGTTTGAAAATATGGGGTTTCGTTTGTTTATTTTTGCTTATGCTGAATTGGGTATTAAATGTATACATTTCTCTTGGTGGGTTTTATCTTTCTTTTTTTATATGTTGAAAAGTTTGGGTCTCAATTTGTGGGTTTGTTTAATTTTGCTTATGCTCAGGTGGGTTTTTAGCCGTCTGTTTGATCGTTGATGAACTGTTATGAATTGATGTGTTTGAGCATAACATATGTTGAAATTAGTGGTGGATAGTAATCTGGTATGATCAGCCTATCAGCCAGTGTTTAGTAGAATCTAGTTGGAGTTCATGGCTTTCTACTAACCGATGCGACTAACTGCTGTGAGAAATTCTTTATGATGGGACATTTATACGTATTTTCCATTCGAAGGCTGTGATAATCACATAACAGATCGATCTCTCATCAAGTTATAATCTTTTTCTATTTCACGTTGCATTTTGTGGATGGTTCTTTTTATCAGTAACCATTGGTGTCGGGAACGGCTTGTGCGCAAAAGCCTAATCAATCCCATGAGCCATGAAGATAACAGCAAGTAAAATCCCCAATCGCCTGGAGGAAACTTGGGCTACCTATGGGGACTTTTGTAGTTTTGTTGGTGGTTTAAGATTGAATATTTGCAATTTCTCTATCTGAGCTGGTATTGCTTTCAGAGATGTTCATATCTCCTTTATGCAATTAGCAGCATCACATTGTATACAAACAAGGGGGGGGGGGGAGGCACATTTTATAGTTTATTGGATACCCAACAATCTGTAGATGATGCCTAAGAACTTGAGATGGGATGATGAACAAGTAAGATTTTACTGGAGTACATGTCACGTATAGCGACCAAAAAGAAATCTTTTCGATTATGTTATCAAAAGTTGAGACAAGTAATATATAGGCATGGAGAGCCTTCTACGTTTAAATTCTTAAGTTTGCATATTCACTAGTTGATTACCGTTCTCTTTAATCATGGCTAAGTGAGAAGAAGTTGATTGTCAACTTTTGAGTGGGACCAATTGTATCTTTTTGGACCACTAAGATACTTTTGAGCATATAAACCTTTGATTCAGGAAAGTGAATTATTCAGGTCTTGTTTGTGAAGGCCTTTCATGGACCAACGAGAGAAACCTTTTTACTGTTTATAAAAATATACTAATTTCTTTTTCTTGGTGTTTTGGGTGTTTTCTTACTAGCTCCAATTATTGACGTCACTGAAGAGGTATTTATCTAATTTGGTCCTTCTCTGTAGGGAAGTTTTTAGCTGGAAGGTCTGTGTACGAGTTTGAATCTCCATCTTTTATGGTTGCTGCAACGGAGAAAGTGCTTGTTCCTGGCAGTCAAAGTGATGCTTCTTCTTCAACTGAACAATTGGAAGCTCTTGGTACAGATGCCAAAGATTCCAAAGTATGTTAATATGCATTCACACTCTGTCTTTAGTGCAGTATAAATTTTTGTCAAGCAGGTGTTTTGCAAAGATATTAATTGCAAGTTGAATCTTGAATAGTTGAATGTTAATAGGCGAGTGCCTCACAGGAACTTTTTTTTGGTTATGTTTATATACGGTAAATACTCATGCAGACTCCTCACCATTGGTGAGGTTTGAACTGTTGACCTCTTGGGAGGCTGGGCTCTACCGGTAACTCGGGTACCACTGGGCCAAGGACCCTTTGGTATGTCATAGGAACTTCACTTCAACTTTGATTGCAATATTTTGAAATTATTTTCTTTAGGCAAGGAGATCATGGAACTTGAATTTTGGGTACCTAGGCTTAAGGAGATGAATGATAAGAATGGAGTTTTCTATGGACGCTATAGTAGGTGGTGGAAGCTCATTGGTGACAGTCTAGAGGAAAGTTTTTGAATGGAAATTATGCATTTCGCTTCATTGTTTTTGTATAAATTTAGTTTTCCTATCAATTCCCCCCCGAGGGAGGATGGATAGAAAATGTGGGATTTTATGGCATCCTCTAGATTTAACATTATTGGTTGCAAGTCAAAGGAAATTCATTGTGAATATCAACAGTATTGTGTGAAATAGATCAGGGTTTGCAAAAACCAAAAAATTGTTGTTAAGACGAAGGATGATATGATGGCTGATTGGCTGAACTACAATTTGGAAATAATCTAACACGACCTGTTCACTACATAATATATCTGTATTCTAACCCTCCTCATGCCCAATTTGCTTGCAAAAGATGGATCAAACAACTATAACAATGACTAGTTCTTGAAACTTGATCAAGCTTCTTCCCTTCCCATTTCAGAGGACCTACAGGAAACAGAGTGTGGAAAAATCAACAACCCTTTTATGATACTAATGACCAAGGAAGCAAATCAGGAACACAATCCAGTGCATGAAGGAGCTGAGCCAGACAAACAAGTTGAAACTAAATATCAAATTGGGCATCCAAGTAGGGTCTGCCAAGCACACTAATGCAGATTTGGCTATGCAAAGCAAAACAAATCCAAGTAGGTTCGGCCAAATAAACCAAATCCAAACAGCATTGGTTAATCAAAACAAATATCCAAGTAGAGCGAATCCACCCAAAAGGTTGGTCATCCTGATGGATTTTCAAGGGGACTCCTCTTCTCCAAGACTGGTCATGGAGGATTTGGTATCATATATTTTCAAATTTAAACAGGCGTAGCCTCAAATCTGAAGGTCATGGGGGGTAGCGGCTGGCTGTCAGCAGATCTTGTGCTGACCGTTTTGGATTATTAGATGTATTGAGGTGCTTTAATGGAAGCATCTTGCTAAACGATGGACAGAACCATCTAAGTGTGTTTGTCCTAATTGTGCTAATTATGAGAGTTAAATGTGAGAGGAGTCGATCAAAAGTAATGAGAGATCATAGCATCTAAAGAATTGACTAGGATGGTGTGTTGCTAACATGAAAGGAACTCTTTGAAGTGTTGTTCTTAGTTTTATTATTTTTGGTGAATAGGAAAAGTTAGAATTTTGTAGGGTTAATGGATTGAAGATATCTTTAGCTGTTAAGTTTTAGATTTTGTAAATGATTTTTGAATATAATAAAAGTATGCTTTTCAAATATTATTATTCTTTGTTACTTGCACATATGTCTTGTTACCCCCTTTAAGCGGGACTTTACAATTGGGAGCTATCTTTTAAAGGATGCTTATAGCCTATTTAAGACACAACTTGTCTGATGCTTGATTTAAATAAATCATTTGTGCTTACGTTTTTGGCATGCTGATCCGGTTCAGATATCGCAAAATGAAGTCAGTCTGGAGGAAGAACAACTTGATGGGACAACTGAAAAGGATTTTGTTACTTCACCAGTTCTGGTTGAGGATATTGCAGCTACGGAGGAAGTACGTTCAGTTTCATTAGTTGAGATAGGAAAAGAAAGTGCAGCGATCAGACAGATGCCTCTTCCTCCTCCTGGAATTGGGCAGAGAATATATGAGATCGATCCACTTTTGGACAGGCATCGTGAACATCTTGAGTACCGGTGAGATATTTTTTTTTCAGTTTTTGCTTGTCCATGTCACTTCTCTGTTTGAAGAACAGCCGAGCGGCAATGGTTGTATCAGTAGTTAGCTTCTTAGTTTCCCTTAATACTTGGTAATTAAATTGCAGGTATTCGCATTACAAGAAGATACGTGAGGCAATTGACAAGTATGAAGGTGGTTTGGAGGCATTTTCTCGTGGTTATGAGAAGTTGGGTTTCACTCGAAGGTATTTCTAGATAATACAGATGTTGAGAGTTCATGATTTCAGTGATATAGTTATCACGTTGAAGCATATTATCATATAAATAGAAGAGTAAAATATGATTTGATGAAGTACAGATACTTTATTGTCATTTGAATTCAAGAATGCCAATGTTATTTAGGAGAATAATTAAAAGACAGATTTGTTGTATACGCATGACATTCTAACAGATTTTGAGGCATATTTGTGCTAGGAAGAGGCCTTCTTCTGTTAGGCAGAAACGTTCTTAATTCTGTCAAAAGGTCTGCATTTATAAAAACATTATCAGAAATTATTCTCTTAAATAACACTCGAAATTGCAATCTATAAGTCTTACTTCTACTTGATTTTGAGTCTTCATATATGTTCTTTTCGAATTATATGTGAAGGGACAACTAATATACAAATATATTTTTGTTAAGAGGTTTGATTATCTGTTCTTTCTCTTGTGACAATTATTATTTGGTGGTGAGTCTAATGCACTGATCATCATACCATGTTTTTTTTTGTCAGTGAAACAGGCATCACCTACAGGGAATGGGCACCTGGAGCGAAGGTTTGTTATTGTCTCTTTTTCTTTATGACCTAAGATTCTTTTTGGTCCCATTCGGTAAATAATTTTCTGTTGCAAGAATCATTTTCTAATTGGGTTTTGATAAACACAGAAACTACTCCTCTATCCTTTGGGGTAAAGGACAGGCGTGCATACATCCCACACCTACCCTGCTCTCAAGTGGGATATACTGAGATCGTTTTAATAAGAGCATCTCCAACAGATTCTCCAAAATGGAGATTTTGGACAACTTTTTTGCTCCAACATATTCTTCAAAAATGGAGAAAGCAGGAGAGAGTGTGAAATTCTCCAAATTTGGAGAACTACCCAAAATGATTACCATGAGAGATTTTTTTTATCATTTTCCCATCGAGAAGAAACCTTGATGTTAAGTGTTTAGGAGAGCGAAATATTTGATAAAATGTATAAAATATTTTGATAACATAATTAATGTTGTAACTTCCAAAATAGATAGCCTGTTGGAGTTAATGTAACTTGTTTTGGAGATTCATGTTGGAGAAATTTTGGAGAATCTACTGCTTCTTTTTCCTTAATTTGTTGAAGGTTCGTTGTAGTAAGAACAATTTTATTTTAGAATCAAAACATATTTATACCTCAAAAAGCCATATTTGACGTAGCAAAACTCGCTATGGACTGTCAACAACCTTCCGGTTCTCCCTCAATATCTAATAGGAAGAGTTTTATGCAAGTATGTTTCTATCTAGATGGAAGTGAGAGAGTTTGACATATTTTCTTATAGACCTGCATTTTGTTTTCCTGAATATTGCATTAACTGAAGTTATCTTTATTATTGAATTTTCTAGTCTGCTTCACTTATTGGAGATTTCAACAACTGGAATCCGAATGCTGATGTTATGACTCGGGTATGTTGTTGATCAAGTTGTTACTAAGCTATGTATCGGATTTCATTCTCCCCATGGTTGGAAACTGAAGATGCTTTTTTTTTGGGGGGGGGGGGRGGGGGGTATATGATACTTGGGCTTTGGGAGGAGGTGTAAGAAAAATCACCAACTTGACCCTTAGTCCAAGTATCATATTTGGTTATTTACTAAAATCGCCCTGTTTGGGGGAAGGATGGATTGTTAGTGTAGACTATTTGGAAGATATAATTGGCGGCCATGCTGGAGGCTTGATCATTGTATCTACACACATTATCTTTTCTTGTTCGATTTGGTTAAAAAATCTGGTGGTTGTCGGTTCTTAACATTGTGTCAGCTTCACTTTAAAGTTTCAAATGAGATGCTTGTGAACTTCAATATTGAAAAAGAAGTATTTTCTTTCCGTAGAAAGAAACAATATGAAGGATTTTGGGTATTGCAATGTCAAATTTGGATTTACTCTTTTTCTTTTTCTGCTATGCTTATTTACTGGTCTTGTTCTTTTTCTTTTTCACTCACACTTTTGCACAAGCCGGGGGTCTTCAGGCCACCCTTTGGGGTAGAGGGCATGTCTGTGTACATCCCACCCCTTGCTTCCGATTGGGATACACTGGGTTTGTTTGGCTTGGTTTAATGTCAAATTTGGATTTGGGAAGTACTAAGTTTGAATCTCTAAATGCGAAAGTTGATTTTGTTTTTGGGGACAGTATAGTTTTTGTAACTTCTAGTGTCATCTCTAATATGGACAGGACGAATTTGGTGTATGGGAGATCTTTTTGCCGAACAATGCTGATGATTCTCCACCTATTCCGCATGGTTCTCGAGTGAAGGTAGGCGTTCTTTATTGTCTATAGATGAATTATATCTTTGATGGTGTTTTTGCTATTTCTTTTGGTGTTCTTGATGCTTGTAGGATTTATGTCATCAAAATTCATTTAAATATTTTAGCCGTAGAAAAACAGAAGCTAAAGGGCAGAATTCCCCCCTGTTCACTGATTTACCCAGCCATAATTTCTTGCTGTGGATTAAATTCCATGTTCCAAGTTGCTAAAATTCAACTGATAAATGTTGATCCTCATGTGTTTAGTTGACATCATCACACTATTTAGGCATAATTTGTTTTAGCCTTTTCATTTTGTGTGTTCCTTTTATATGGTGTCAGAAGTGGTTGCAGGTCCCATTTACTTAACATGAGGAGAAAGGAAGATAGGACCCACAAAATGGAGAATGTATAACGGAGGAAAATGTTATAAATGAATGGAACCAATTATGACATGTTAATCTTCAATGTGACATTGTAGATTCGTATGGATACTCCATCTGGCCTTAAAGACTCGATTCCTGCTTGGATCAAGTTTTCTATACAGGCTCCTGGTGAGATTCCTTATAATGGAATTTACTATGATCCCCCAGAAGAGGTATATCTCCTCCTGTTGATTTTCTTAATTCCATCAATTCTTGTTACGGATATTGACGATATGTTCACTATTTGAGCAGGAAAGATATGTGTTTCAACATCCTCGGCCAAAGAAACCAAAATCTCTTAGGATTTATGAGGCACATGTTGGAATGAGTAGTACGGTGTGTATCTCCCCTCTCTTATGATATCAATTGAAATTCAATGGCTTTCTATAATCTATATTTTCCATGGGTCATATTTATTTTCCCAGCTAGGTTTGTTTACATGGTTGAACAGAATTACTAGCACATTTTTTTCTCTATATACTGCTGTAAGACTTGGTTATGTCTTCTTGTATATGCTTCTGTTTGTATGTTCGTTTATCTGTTTGAATGTTGCCTACTTGTAACTCATTTTCAAATTTCAGTACCGCCTTTCTTATTCTTAAGCTCTTCCTATGTTCTTTCTCCATAAATTTTTTGAGCAAGTTTTATCCTTTGTTTTTGCACACTTTGCACAAGCTGGACAGAAACAAACGCTCTACCCTTTGGAGTAGAGGTAAGGTCAGTATACATTCCATCCCCTAGACCCTACCTATGGGTGGGTTCGTTTGGTTTGGTTAATGTTGTAACAACATGATGTTATGAATTTGAAGGAGTTATTTATCACAAGCATTGACTGTATTTTATCTTGTTCTATATAGGAACCAATGATCAACACCTATGCTAACTTCAGAGATGATGTTCTCCCTCGCATCAAAAAGCTTGGTTACAATGCTGTTCAGCTCATGGCTATTCAAGAGCATTCGTATTATGCTAGTTTTGGGTAATTTCTTGATAGTCATTTGCTTGTGTGTTCATGTTTGTTTACTCTTTTCATGATTGACTCTAATGTTTTTGATTTGTGATTGTTTGTTGCATTCTTCCTGTGTAATTGCTAATGATATTTTATCATTTTATATAATTAACCAAAATTTGGATGTGTCTTTAATGACTTAGGTACCATGTGACAAATTTCTTTGCACCTAGCAGTCGTTGTGGGACTCCAGATGATCTTAAATCCATGATAGATAAAGCCCATGAGTTGGGACTGGTTGTTCTCATGGATATCGTGCACAGGTAATTATTATTTGATCACTAACTTTTAGAAATGATTTGTCTAGAAAATGAAATACCATTCCTGCCACTATGCCTATTGTGGTTATCTAAGCTGCTTCACTTTTTACTTTATTTCTTGACCTATGTTGTGCATCAACTTATGAGCGTTCTTTAGTAGAATAACCTTCCGACATATTTCTTTGAAATGCATTATCTTTTGACACATTTTGTTAGGAAGAGACGTTCTTTTATTCATTGCTCTTTCATCCCTGAGGCTAATTCCTTCAGTGGTTTGAAGTCAAGTATGAGGACGAAAATAGCAATGAATTGTAAAACACATGGACGAAAAAAGTAATGAATTGCAAACCATAGGGCGAAAATAGCAATTTTCAACAAACAACAGGACGAAAAACGTAGTTTACTCATAAAAAATGAAAGAAGAAATGAACGCGTCTTCATCCAATACTTCATTTGATATGTTTCTGTATTTAGCTTTAGTAATTGGTGATTGCAGCCATTCATCAAACAACACTTTAGATGGTCTAAATATGTTTGACGGGACGGATAGTCATTACTTCCACTCTGGAGAACGAGGTTATCATTGGATGTGGGATTCTCGCCTTTTCAACTATGGACATTGGGAGGTAATATCTTGCAAAAAAACTCGCTCATTCATTGTTAGAATTGAAAATTGGTGTATGACTGTTGTTTCACTTTCAGGTGTTAAGATATCTTCTTTCAAATGCAAGATGGTGGTTGGATGAATATAAGTTTGATGGATTCAGATTTGATGGTGTGACTTCAATGATGTACACGCATCATGGTTTACAGGTAAGTTTTATTTAGCAAAATGGAAAAACACCTTCCCTTTTACCATCATCAATATAGAAAAAGTTGACTGAAATTTATGTATCATGGACTTTCATTTATTGGTCCATTTTATTATTGAGCTAATATCCAATTTATCCCGTTCTATGTTTAGGTAGCGTTTACCGGAAACTACAATGAGTATTTCGGGTTGACGACCGATGTTGATGCTGTGGTTTATTTGATGCTGGTAAATGATCTTATTCATGGGCTCTTCCCCGAAGCAATCTCTATTGGTGAAGATGTATGTTCTCTCTCTGCTTTCTCAAGTTTTATCTCCTATATTTTATGTTCATCTTGAACTAGATTACATTATATCTATTGTTAAGATATGAGTTCTATTTCTGAACTACTGTAAATGCATGTGCATATGGGTATGCATATGCATGCATGCACACTTATAAATAGCCTCTGTACATATTGGTGGATATAAGATCGATTGATGAGATACTTTCTGTAAACCCGTTATGCAAAGTTGAATATGATGTTAATCATTAAGTTCAGTTTTAGAAATAAATTGATGAGATTTTCTTTTTACAAACAACCAAAATTAAGGCCTTGTTTGGCAATACTTACCATTTTGGTTTTATGTCTACGTTTTTGTATGTAAATGGTGTTTTGGTTTCTGTTCGATAATGAAATCGGGATGTCTAGCAAGAATAATTTGTTTTCAATAAAAAAGAGACGTGCAAACTAAAGAAAGACCAAACTTGTATTTTTATTGGGGTTGAATTTTCTGTCTCACATAGTCAATGTGTGTTCCCCCCATTTTTCTAGAGGTATGAAGTGGGTGTTTTCTGTTTTCATGCCATGCAGGTGAGTGGAATGCCGACATTCTGCATTCCTGTACAAGATGGCGGTGTGGGGTTTGACTACCGTTTGCATATGGCAATTGCTGATAAGTGGATTGAGCTTCTCAAGTATGCAACTCCACGCTCTTATATATCATTTCCTATTAGTAACATGTTCCGGATTTAAACACGTTGATCCAGAAAGTGCTTATAAGATAGAACATGAATATGTCGTGGTTAAATGAGAAACACAAGGACAACAAAAACTGAATTTAACAGCCAAATAAGATGAAAGCCAAACCAAATGTATCTGGTATACTCTCACTTGAAAGTAGGGTCTGGGATCCCCAAGGGATAAGAAGGATAAAGCGGCTGTTTCCAGCGAAGGGAAAATAAGATGCAATGTCATAATTATATCATCCATGACATGTGTATATTTTGAGATTGCCATTATACCCCTCCGGTTTCTATTATAGAGATTAGTAAGGCATCAGTCTTGTGCTTTCCTCTTTTATTTATCATGCTTTCACATTTCATTATTTCGATTCCGAGCATATATATAACATAAGAGAAAATGACGTTTTCTTCATGAAGCTTCCACTTATAGAATATCTTTGTTTGTTAGTGAAGTCGGGCCAGAAAAACTTCCTACTTCGTTTCTCATTTATGTCATAAGATATCATGATAGTTTCATTTTTGGCGCAGCTGATGATATTATGTTTGGTAACTTCAAATATGAATGTAGCAAGAATGGTATATTATACACCAACAAATAAAATATAGGAAAGACAATGATGCCTCGATAATGGGTTAATTTAATTAGGAGAATAATCTTCTGATAGATTTTTATAAATACATGATGTTCTGATACATTTAAGAACGCCTCTGCCTAATAGAAGAATGTCTCAAAATCTGTCAGACAGGTCATGCATTTAAAAGAACTGTCAGAAGGTTATTCTCCTATATAACCCCCTTGGTAATCTTACTAGCAAACAGCAATGTAGGAATACGCCAATCTATAAAATAGGTTTCTTACCTAAAAGGGTAGATAAGCGCATTCCTATACGAAAAATTTAATTTGGGGACAACTATGAGATTAGGGGGTGCTGATATCGCTAGCCTATATCTACATATTATTTATTTATGGCCAGAAAAATTGTATATTGAACATGATTATACTCTTTTGCATAGGCTGAGGGACGAAGATTGGAAAATGGGCGATATCGTTCACACACTTACCAATCGAAGATGGTCAGAAAATTGTGTTGCTTATGCCGAAAGTCATGATCAAGCTCTAGTTGGTGATAAAACTCTTGCATTCTGGCTTATGGACAAGGTTAGAACCATTTTGTTTGCAAAATTTTAAGCTCATTTATGTATATATATATATGTATGTATATGTATATGTATTTAGAAATATATATATATATATATATTCTTGTCAAAATTATTCATTTTTTTGCAAGTTCCTACTTCTTAATACAAAAACCACAGCTTAGCCCTTGCTGGTAATACCTCCCCCACCAAAGAGGGTCCATTTTTAATTTTAGCGATTCAAACTTTAGTACTTAAATTCAATTTGACAGATTTGTTTAGTTCTTGTGTGTAAAATGTTTCTCTTTTAATACTCGATATTTTGTTCTATTTATCCAGAAATAGAAAACAACCATTGTCAAAGTCGAAGTTAAAACATTTCACTTTACATTCATAAATCAAAGTACTCTTTTTTCTGGATGGAGGTAGTGCTATTACAAAAGATGTTATTGTGGCCGAGAACCTCATACCCATTTTTTTGCAACCCAAAGGCGCCACTATTCCACGTGCTCTAGGTCCATTGCCACACAAAACACCTCCCCATTGGGTTTTTGTACCCCAATGGGAATCGAACCTGTGAGCAAGAGGAATTATCTTTCTTATTGACCCACCAAGCTAAGCCCTTGTGGTTAACTTCAAACCCATCTTGAAGTCCTCATATTTGTTCATTTATTTTATGGTTCATGAGGTTTATTCTAGTTGCAAATAACATTTGTGTACTTGACAGGATATGTATGACTTCATGGCAGTGGATAGACCGTCAACTCCTCTTATAGATCGTGGTATAGCATTGCATAAAATGATCAGGCTTATTACAATGGGATTAGGTGGAGAAGGGTATTTGAATTTTATGGGAAACGAGTTCGGGCATCCTGGTAAGACTACGCAATATGAGTATTTCGTATATAATTTGTGTTTGTCTTACTTTAAGCTCTTCTATGGATGTTAATACACGTTCCCCGTTTTATCAGAGTGGATAGATTTTCCAAGAGCCGATCAACGTCTTCCAGATGGGAGATTTATACCTGGGAATGGTAATAGCTTTGACAAATGTAGGCGTAGATTCGATCTGGTAAGCTCTTTCTTGATTCACACTAAAAGATCAATTTATTTTTGTTAATACCCAGAAAATTTTAAATCAAGATAAGAGTCCATTTAAGTTTGAGATATAATTTTGTCTGATATCGTTCATATAGTTCGATTCAACTTACTACTTGCTAGTCTTGGCTCTTTCTTTTCGCTCACACTTTTGCACAAGCCAAGGGTCTTCACAGAAACAACCGGTGTTACCCTCTGGGGTAGAGGACGATTTCATATACATCCCATCCCTAGACCTAAGTGGGATATACTGGGTTCTTTTGGTTTGTTTTGGTTTATAATTCGATGCAGGTATCAAGTTTTTCTAAGAAACAGAAATTATTCATCAATGTTGAAGTAAAAAGTTAAATCATTAAGAAGTCAAATAGGGACACTTTTGTGTTGTGAAAGTACTATTAGATATATCCATCAGTAAAAAAGCACAATGTAAGTTTCTGATGCCGTTTTTCATTCATATGCATAGGGGGATGCTGAATATTTACGTTATCATGGGTTACAAGAATTTGATAAGGCGATGCAGCATCTCGAGGAAGCTCATAAAGTACGTGAATTTGTGTGTACGTTTGCATATTTGTCTTGTAATGTGAATTCATTTGTAAACCGGATCAATTGTGGTTGTGCAGTTCATGACTTCAACACACCAGTATATATCACGGAAACACGAAGGAGAGAGAGTAATCATTTTTGAAAGAGAAGACTTGGTTTTCGTCTTTAATTTCCACTGGCATAACAGTTATTCAGACTACCGGGTGGGCTGTTTAAAACCTGGAAAGTATAAGGTACACTTTCTTGTTCTTACTTGTTCCTTTCCCGTTCTAGAAATGCACAAAAAAGCCCAAGCCCGGCCCCAACCCCAACCCCCACCCCCACCCCCAAAGTCTCGTGGGCTCGTTTGATTTTAGACATGAGAAATTTCGTAGTGTCTGCTTCTATGTTTCCTCTTCAAGCTATTCATCAAACATCGCAAAAACCTAATGCTCCGTCTTACAGATTGCCCTGGACTCTGATGATCCGTTATTTGGAGGCTTTGGTAGACTTGATCACGATGCTGAATTTTTCACCTTTGTAAGTGATTCCGTTTCACTTTTCAATTAACCAAAGGAGGCAAGTTCTTGAGCTTAATTCCATAAACCATTTACAGGAAGGAAGCCACGATAACAGACCTCGATCATTCATGGTATATGCGCCTGCCCGCACAGTAGTCGTCTACAAACTCGTAACTGATGCTGTCAGTAAGTAGCTGTGCTCTAAGGCTATGTTTTGCAAGATCTGCTGTGCAAAGTTGCAGTGGTTGACCATCGAGAAAGGGGAAATGCACAGAGGAAAAAACGTCTGTGTCGGTTAAGTTGGTACTGACAAGGCTCGAGATTACAAACGATTTTGCAATCGTTATTAGTTCTAATAAAGCGCTTGATGTTCGAGTAGTTAAGATCTTTGTTGCAATGTATAGTGTTAGAAAACAGATGGTTTATACATCAAATAATCTTTACAGTAAATAAATAGATGTTCTTTTTGAAATTTAAGCCATGACTTTACACTACATTCATGTGTAAGAATCACATGTGACCTAGGTCGCGGGTCAAGTCGTCCACCGTACACCAATTTGTTGATTGTGTTCTGTAGTTGCGTGTGATTTTAGTGCAAAATCATAACCTCTTTTCCACTCCCTCCCTCCCTCCACGGTGAAGGGGATCTTGAAATTAAATTTTCAAGACCGTATGCGCATGTGTATGCAACCATGTACATGGTCTTTATTTTCTATGATGTAAAAATTGGATATAATTATTCATCTTTGAAAACTTGTGTTTCTGAGGTTTATGCACATGTAAATACCCGAGAGGAATTCTAGCTATCATCTTTTTAATATGTTTTTTTGGGGTTCTGCACATGTGAATACTTGTGAGGAAGTCAAGCATTTATCCTTATCCCTATCTACTCTGTTTATTATGGGTTTTATGTTCGCGTGAAGATAAGGACTTTGAATATTGTGAATGGTTTACATGTTCATGCTACCTAAAAACTAAAAGACATTCACATCTGCATTCAACCAAGAAATTGAAGAACTTTGAATATATTGATTGATCAGTTCACATTTGCATATAACTTAGAAAATGAAAGGCAGTTAATATGACGACTAATTCAAATATGCAATATGCATATAACCCTACTAATGAAGGAGGGTGAATATGACGACTCATTCACATGTGCATACAACTTAGAATTGAAAGACAATGAATGCGGTGTGATGCATGCAACTCAGAATCCGAAAAATGATGATTCATTCACATGTGCATGAAGAAGAAATTGAATGAAATAATCATGAAATATATTTTTTGTAGATTGTGGAATATTTTTTTGTAGATTGTTGTAATATTTTTTTGTAGATTTTTTAGAGAATAGATGAAGTTTCCATAAATTATGAATACTTTCCTTTATTTAAGGGATTTTAGTTAAATGAAATGATTATCTATTAATAAAAATGTATTATTTTGCCCTTTTCCATTCAATAAATTGGTAAAATTGTTGTCTTTTTAATAATTGTTAGATTAGAATTAATCAATGTTTATTAGAATATTCTTTAGTTTTATATCTTTTTTTGCATTTTTTTTCTGAATTTGACGATATATATATATATATATATATATATATATATATATATGTGGGCCCATTTAAGGGAGAACTGATTAATTTATGCTAACTGTGAGATCCAATCTCAACCACAAATCAACGGATAAATTAAGAAATTAATAATTATGGTAGTTTAAGTTAAAATTATAATTAGAAGGCATATTAGGTATTTTTAAAAAACTCTTCTCTCCTCTCTCATCTCTCATCTCTCCGACCTCCGGTGAACATTAATCCGGCAGGTACCAAGTAATCACAAATATACACAATGTGATACCCATTGTGATATACTGTGATACCATTGTGATACCAACTCAAACCTTAAAAACAAAGATACATAATGTGATACCCATTGTGATATACTATGATATCGATTTCATCGGAGGCCGGAGATTGGAGGTCAGAGAGATGAGAGAGGAGAGAGGAGTTTAAAAAAAAATATACCTAATATGCCCTCTAATTATAATTTTAACTCAAACTACCATAATTATTAATTTCATAATTTATCCGTTGATTTGTGGTTGAGATGGGACCTCACAGTTACCACAAACTAATCAGTTCTCATTTGGTTAGACCCCTATATATATATACTTATAATTAATAAGTAACTTGGGTGACACGTGTCATCTTCTGGTGAGTCGGTTTTCTTGCTTTCTGTCACACCCCGCTAAAGTGGAAACACGAGATGTAGCAGGTAAGTGTTTCATAGCACAAATTAATAGATAACACCATTAAAGTTCATAGTTCAAAAGTTTACAAATCCATAACCAAACTGTCTCGATGAAAACAACATCATATGCAAAAAGGGTTTCTAAAACTCGTGAATAGGTGTTATCACAATAATGCATCCATGACGTCAGTTCTTACTTAATTTCCTGAAAGCATGAAACATAAAACGACGTCAACTACAAAGAGTTGGTGAGTTCACGGGTTTTCATATGCACAAAATATATTTACAATGCATAAATCAGTTCTTGCAAACTAATACATAAATTCGCACAAGATAAATGTAAATTTTTAACGATGTTTAAAACTTGAGACCCTACTGAGCCGTACCTGACCAATGTGCCCCGTTATTTTACGAACTACCATAAAGTGGCCCGCTCGTTCACTTAGGTACCACGGTTCGTATCAGTACTACTTCAGCAGTGGCCCGTTCGTACACATGAGTAGACTATTAAACATAAGTAATATGCACCCGTTTTTGGGTGGGACTGTCAATACAATAGCGGCTATCCACAATTTCCACGGCCCGGGAACGTGCCCGAGTTAACTAGTAGCGTTTACGGAAGGGGACTTTTTAAATTATACTCTCAAGTACATCAATTTATCATTTATATATAGTGCAATAACAATCAATTTTTCATGATTTCAACAATTTTTGACTAAACAGTTCTTTAGTCCAACAGTTTTACAACTAAACAATATAGTTTGCAGACTTTCATGCTTTTCCCCCAATTTAAATAAACAAAACAGTAAAAGTGGGGCCGTGTATACTCACAAGTTTGCTGATGAATATCCAAGAACTTGATGATGTTTGAAGCACTAAACGTCCGCCCTAACTTTTCTAAACAGTCCGAAATCCAATAATTAAATCACCTATCGAGTCTCGATAAAGATAAAGTCAAATTATATCTTATGTAATGCCAATGAGTTTTATGGATTAAAGTTGATACTTATATCATTTGTTCTAAAAATGGTCCAATATTTATACATTTTAGGATCAAAGTCTTTTGCACATAAAGTTACCACTTGGACAGAATGTTAATTCTGTTTCTGGAATTTTGGTCTCATAAATCACAGTCAAAAGGAACCTTCCATAAGTCATTTTGTGTCCAAATTTTTATACCATAAATGTTACTGTATTAGACAATTTCTATCCAAATTCCACATATTTTGGAAGTGTTTTAGTTATTCAAATGTTCAACGCATATTCACGTGTCAAAGCAATCTGGACAGATTGTATTCTGTCAAATCTGTGGTCATATGGAAGGTCTAAACTTAACGTTTTTCAATGATTTCACTTGAGTTGTAAACTTAACTCATTAATCCAACTTCCAGAAGAAGAATTACATATTTTTATTAGTTTTTGAGAGAGTTATGTGACTTTGAACATGCATGTACGTTTCTGTCCAGTAGCATCATATTGCACCAGAGTTTTATGTCAATCATTTAAATACTCAAAACTCAATATTTTTGAGTGAAACCAAAAACAATAGATCAACAACTCATCAAAGTAAACTCCAAAAGAAAAATCAAATATTTTGGATAAGTTTTTAAGGAGCTATGTATGTTCAAATTAGGGTTTACCTACTGTTGAAGATATTGTTGCATACTCAACTTATTCTAAATGATTGGAGGGTCAAAACTCCTCCTTTTTACACAATTCAAGTTGGAAAAGAACCATAACTCAAAAAAGTACATTTTAAAAGAAAAATCAGAGCATTTGGTCTTTTATTTTAGAAGATACGGACGACACAATTGCTAGTAAACAATCTGTCAAATCCAAAATGCCACTTTTAATGGTTAAATTCCACATGCAATGTGATTTTACCCATTTCCTTGAGTTCTAAGTTTGTAGATAATAGATTATCACCATTTTGAGAAAATTTTCATGTCTTTGATGAATAATCTCCCATCTTAGATTCTCCAGAAAATTTGAGCTTAAAAAGAAGAAAGAATGTGTAGAAAATGAGAATTCATGTTGAAAAATACAAAGATAATGTAACTAATCTATTACCTTTTGCTTGCTACTACTTGAAGACTTGAATGTTCTTCAAGAATTATGGAATTGAAGGATGTTTGAAGGGTGGATTCGGCTGGAGTAGAAGAGGAAGAGTCTAGTGAGAGAAGGGAGTAATGCGAATGAAGGTGAAAGTGAGAGATTTTAAAAGAAGTGGGGTTTTTATGTGTGGACTTAATGAGAATAAAGGGGCCGGCCCTTTTAAGGCCTAATCCAAATCATTTTTATTTATTTATTTATAAAAATAAAGCCCATTTAAATGTTAGCATAAATACAATTTGTCAAATACTGATAAAAATATCAGTATTATATCAAAATTCCAAATTTTTGTAAAATTATTTGGACATTCAAATGAGATTTTTATATCTTTATTTTGGATTTTATAATATCAACTTTATTATGTTTGGAGAATTTTTAATGTTTTTGACATTACATAAGTTAACTTTATCAGCTACCCGTCGAAACAAGGTTTTCTGAACTGTAATTTGGGAACTAAGCCAGATGAATTGTAATCAACATGACTAGACCCTAATAAAATATAATTCTAAATATAGAAACCTTATAAAGATGCTAACCTGACGCTCCAAAAATGACGGATGGCACAGTCTCCCCATGCCAGAAGAATTTCGTCCCGAAATTTTATTCGTCAGTTCATAGCTTTGGACCTGTTTGAGAACAAGTGGGGATACTTGTTTTTCACAAAATCTTCTCTTTTCCACGTATACTCCTGATGGGTCGTGGAACACCACAGACACAAACAACAATCAGGACTAAAAGCAAGTATACAAATAGTCCCAATATCGTCTTTCAAGTAATAAAAGTGGTACAAGTACCGG